ACTGAGGCTGTAGACCCAGGACTGAGGCTGTAGACCCAGGACTGAGGCTGTAGACCCAGGACTGAGGCTGTAGACCCAGGACTGAGGCTGTAGACCCAGGACTGAGGCTGTAGACCCAGGACTGAGGCTGTAGACCCAGGACTGAGGCTGTAGACCGACCTAGACCCAGGACTGAGGCTGTAGACCCAGGACTGAGGCTGTAGACCCAGGACTGAGGCTGTAGACCCAGGACTGAGGCTGTAAACCCAGGACTGAGGCTGTAGACCCTGGACTGAGGCTGTAGACCCAGGACTGAGACTGTAGACCCAGGACTGAGACTGTAGACCCAGGACTGAGGCTGTAGACCCAGGACTGAGGCTGTAGACCCAGGACTGAGGCTGTAGACCCAGGACTGAGGCTGTAGACCCAGGACTGAGGCTGTAGACCCAGGACTGAGGCTGTAGACCCAGGACTGAGGCTGTAGACCCTGGACTGAGGCTGTGGACCCTGGACTGAGGCTGTAGACCCAGGACTGAGGCTGTAGACCCAGGACTGAGGCTGTAGACCCAGGACTGAGGCTGTAGACCCAGGACTGAGGCTGTAGACCCAGGACTGAGGCTGTAGACCCAGGACTGAGGCTGTAGACCCAGGACTGAGGCTGTAGACCCAGGACTGAGGCTGTAGACCCAGGACTGAGGCTGTAGACCCAGGACTGAGGCTGTAGACCCAGGACTGAGGCTGTAGACCCTGGACTGAGGCTGTAGACCCAGGACTGAGGCTGTAGACCCAGGACTGAGGCTGTAGACCCAGGACTGAGGCTGTAGACCCAGGACTGAGGCTGTAGACCCAGGACTGAGGCTGTAGACCCAGGACTGAGGCTGTAGACCCAGGACTGAGGCTGTAGACCCAGGACTGAGGCTGTAGACCCAGGACTGAGGCTGTAGACCCAGGACTGAGGCTGTAGACCCAGGACTGAGGCTGTAGACCCAGGACTGAGGCTGTAGACCCAGGACTGAGGCTGTAGACCCAGGACAGAGGCTGTAGACCCAGGACTGAGGCTGTAGACCCAGGACTGAGGCTGTAGACCCAGGACTGAGGCTGTAGACCCTGGACTGAGGCTGTGGACCCTGGACTGAGGCTGTAGACCCAGGACTGAGGCTGTAGACCCAGGACTGAGGCTGTAGACCCAGGACTGAGACTGTAGACCCAGGACTGAGGCTGTAGACCCAGGACTGAGGCTGTAGACCCAGGACTGAGGCTGTAAACCCAGGACTGAGGCTGTAGACCCTGGACTGAGGCTGTAGACCCAGGACTGAGGCTGTAGACCCAGGACTGAGGCTGTAAACCCAGGACTGAGGCTGTAGACCCTGGACTGAGGCTGTGGACCCTGGACTGAGGCTGTAGACCCTGGACTGAGGCTGTAGACCCAGGACTGAGGCTGTAGACCCAGGACTGAGGCTGTAGACCCAGGACTGAGGCTGTAGACCCAGGACTGAGGCTGTAGACCCAGGACTGAGGCTGTAAACCCAGGACTGAGGCTGTAGACCCTGGACTGAGGCTGTGGACCCTGGACTGAGGCTGTAGACCCTGGACTGAGGCTGTAGACCCAGGACTGAGGCTGTAGACCCAGGACTGAGGCTGTAGATCCAGGACTGAGGCTGTAGACCCAGGACTGTAGCTGTAGACCCAGGACTGAGGCTGTAGACCCAGGACTGAGGCTGTAGACCCAGGACTGAGGCTGTAGACCCAGGACTGAGGCTGTAGACCCTGGACTGAGGCTGTAGATCCAGGACTGAGGCTGTAGATCCAGGACTGAGGCTGTAGATCCAGGACTGAGGCTGTAGATCCAGGACTGAGGCTGTAGATCCAGGACTGAGGCTGTAGACCCAGGACTGAGGCTGTAGACCCTGGACTGAGGCTGTAGACCCAGGACTGAGGCTGTAGATCCAGGACTGAGGCTGTAGATCCAGGACTGAGGCTGTAGATCCAGGACTGAGGCTGTAGACCCTGGACTGAGGCTGTAGATCCAGGACTGAGGCTGTAGACCCAGGACTGAGGCTGTAGACCCAGGACTGAGGCTGTAGACCCAGGACTGAGGCTGTGGACCCTGGACTGAGGCTGTAGACCCAGGACTGAGGCTGTAGACCCAGGACTGAGGCTGTAGACCCAGGACTGAGGCTGTAGACCCAGGACTGAGGCTGTAGACCCTGGACTGAGGCTGTAGACCCTGGACTGAGGCTGTAGACCCAGGACTGAGGCTGTAGACCCAGGACTGAGGCTGTAGATCCAGGACTGAGGCTGTAGACCCAGGACTGTAGCTGTAGACCCAGGACTGAGGCTGTAGACCCAGGACTGAGGCTGTAGACCCAGGACTGAGGCTGTAGACCCTGGACTGAGGCTGTAGATCCAGGACTGAGGCTGTAGATCCAGGACTGAGGCTGTAGATCCTGGACTGAGGCTGTAGATCCAGGACTGAGGCTGTAGACCCAGGACTGAGGCTGTAGACCCAGGACTGAGGCTGTAGACCCAGGACTGAGGCTGTAGACCCTGGACTGAGGCTGTGGACCCAGGACTGAGGCTGTGGACCCTGGACTGAGGCTGTGGACCCTGGACTGAGGCTGTAGACCCAGGATAGACCCAGGACCGTGTTATAACTAAGACACACATAAAACAATAATGTATTTTACTCAGATTCTTTTTGACAGTGTTTTATTTAAATGTATTTGTTTTTTCTACTGAAACATTGTTGCGTCTCGTCTCTTTCATAATAAACTATTCCATTCCATATTTCTCCTTTAAAGTCTCGACCACTCGTATATATTCAGCTTCAGCCTCGTTCTGGGACAGTCCTGCAGAAGTCAAAGCAGAAAAACTCTCAAAAATAACTGCATTTTAACAATATTTTAACAACAACAGAGTCTAACCTTTCTGTGCGTTCCAGGCTTTCCATTTCTCTCTCGCCACGAAGTAAAACATTCCCGGAGAATCTGGAAAACAGAAAATATTATTATTAGAAGTAGTTTATTTTCTCAGGTCACACATTTTCAGAGATCACATGTACTTTTATCAGCAAGAAAAAGAAGAGCCAAAATGTGTTCATTAAGGATCAAAAGTTTAGGCTGAAAACGTGTTACAATGTGTACAATGTGACAATACGTCCAAAGATGACAAATTATACAGTTTCTCATTTACCAACGATGGTAACAACGTAAACTTCCATAATCAAGAGTTATTCAGAAAAATCCAATTCATTTGTTCTATACTTCTCCATCATATTTGACTTATCACCATGAATCTATAATAATACCTGGATAGAGTATTACTAACTTAGAGCTGTCCCACCCACGGCCACAGGGGGCGCTGTGGTACTGCAGACTACATTCACGTGTTCAACCCAGAAATAAGTCCCATAGAACTCAATGTAAACTAAAACAGACCTCAGCTGACAGAGAACCTGACAGAGAACCTGACAGAGAACCTGACAGAGAACCTGACAGAGAACCTGACAGAGAACCTGACAGAGAACCTGACAGAGAACCTACAGAGAACCTACAGAGAACCTGGCGGAGAACCTACAGAGAACCTACAGAGAACCTGACAGAGAACCTACAGAGAACCTGGCGGAGAACCTGACAGAGAACCTACAGAGAACCTACAGAGAACCTGACAGAGAACCTACAGAGAACCTACAGAGAACCTGGCGGAGAACCTGACAGAGAACCTACAGAGAACCTACAGAGAACCTGACAGAGAACCTACAGAGAACCTGGCGGAGAACCTGACAGAGAACCTACAGAGAACCTGGCGGAGAACCTGACAGAGAACCTACAGAGAACCTACAGAGAACCTACAGCTTTCATAAAGGTCGTAGGTCGTGGGGATGTTAATGTCCCTTGTCGTCCTGAACTTTTTTTCTTCTTAAATCCTTCAGTTTTCTTTAAATCCGCACTTTACTGCCACAAACTCTGCTCCTGTCCTTCCCGCTCTGACTCCGCTCTGATCAGCTCTGATTGGTCATCATGGGAGATAGCACAAAGCATCATGGGAGCTCGTCCAGTGCACAGAACCAGGAGGACCGGTCTCCGTGAAGTCATTCATTTGAACAGGACGCCATCTTGGATCACCGGGGCTTGTTTATATGTCACTAGTCTCTTTATATGTTATTATTATTACTGCATTATTACATATCCATCTGATACTTCTGCCAAGTGCAATTACAGCTCCAGAGTTTATTTTAGTTTATTTTTTCTTTATTTTATTTTAATTATAGAGTCTATTATCTTAAATAATAGAGTCTGATGTGTGCGTCTGAGTCTTATTTCCTTCTTTCTCTGCTGTAACGATGACACTGACAAACTCCACTGTGAGACCAATAAGAGTTTCTTATCTTATATGTCTTGGACCGTATGCGCGCTCTGATTGGTTGATTACCGGTCTGATATTTTCACATCTCGGACCGTTACCATGACAATCTGTCCACAGCCCGTATCACACAAAACCAAGTCGGACATGAACATACTTCACAAATATCTCAAAAGCATCGGTAAAGACACAGACGAGAGTCATATAATAAAACATTTATTAACCTCGTTTGCTCGGTCTGTGCAGAGAAATATCAGACCTTGGTCTTTTAAGGCCGCGGTCTGATATTTCTCTGTACAGACCTCGCCCTCGGCTAATAAGCCGTTATTATCTTATACTTTTTTAATGTTTTAGTAGTTCTTGAGCCCATACGATACTGTTCCATAGATAAACTCTGCTCTGGGCTTCTGTAGCAGGTCAGTTCCTCTGCGGCTGTAGCTACCTTCTCTAGAATGAAACGTCTTTTGTAAACAGTGAGGAAGCATGAAGCTGAGATCATACCAGTTTAGAATATTACGTCCATTGACATCAGAATAGACATGTATCTGAGCAAACTGTGATCATATATCTGTTCAGGAACGGAATGTGTTCCAGTGTTTTGGTTCAAATGTGTTGAAACTGAGACTTTTGAAAGTAAATAATTGAGTAAAGTAAAGAAGATGACAGAGAAGAACCCGGAGCACATGGAGGACTCCACCACAGTGAGACTATAACACTCTAAATACTCTGTCTTTATGTTCAGATGGAGCTCTAAACTAAAGCAGTCTCTTTGACTAAACTGTGATTAGCTCCAAGAACCACGTTTATAGAAGATATGTGAGGTCCTACAGAACTAAACTAGCTTAGCATTAGCATCTGTAAACTCTGGTCCATGATCATCTCCTACATGTACGTCTGGTCTTACCATGTGTAAACTCTGGTCCATGGTCATTTCCTACATGTACGTCTGGTCTTACCATGTGTAAACTCTGGTCCATGATCATCTCCTACATGTACGTCTGGTCTTACCATGTGTAAACTCTGGTCCATGATCATCTCCTACATGTACGTCTGGTCTTACCATGTGTAAACTCTGGTCCATGATCATTTCCTACATGTACGTCTGGTCTTACCATGTGTAAACTCTGGTCCATGATCATCTCCTACATGTACGTCTGGTCTTACCATGTGTAAACTCTGGTCCATGATCATCTCCTACATGTACGTCTGGTCTTACCATGTGTAAACTCTGGTCCATGATCATTTCCTACATGTACGTCTGGTCTTACCATGTGTAAACTCTGGTCCATGATCATCTCCTACATGTACGTCTGGTCTTACCATGTGTAAACTCTGGTCCATGATCATTTCCTACATGTACGTCTGGTCTTACCATGTGTAAACTCTGGTCCATGATCATCTCCTACATGTACGTCTGGTCTTACCATGTGTAAACTCTGGTCCATGATCATCTCCTACATGTACGTCTGGTCTTACCATGTGTAAACTCTGGTCCATGATCATCTCCTACATGTACGTCTGGTCTTACCATGTGTAAACTCTGGTCCATGATCATTTCCTACATGTACGTCTGGTCTTACCATGTGTAAACTCTGGTCCATGGAGAATGTGATAGTAAAATAAAACTGAAGCCGGAGAAAGAGGAATGTTTAGTAAATGTTGTTGAAGCAAAGATGTTGTGGTTCTACTCCCTGAGTAGGGGAGCTAGGCTAAATGCTAAAGCTAGGCTACATGCTAAAGCTAGGCTATATGCTAATGCTAGGCTAAATGCTAAAGCTAGGCTAAATGCCTCACTCACTCGGGCTCATTACATACGTCACAGTAAACTCAGATCCAATGGTTTCAATCTGTAAAAGGAGTTAACCCCTCCCACCTGTTCACGGAGTCAATGGACCCAGACCTTAGTACCAAATGAAATGAGTTCCATGGTGTGGTAAGACCAGGGTAGAACTAAACCTACACCGTGATGTTTCCCACCTCCAGTTTAGCACCTGGGTTGATAGAAAACAATCCCCATTTGTAGCTTATCAGTGAAAGAGGATCAGTCCCTTCAGTATCTCTCTCCTCAGACTCAGGCTCAGACCCAGGTCCCGTCTCCAGAGAACTGGACCCAAAACATTACCACAACTGTTGCAGAGAGACACATGCATGAGACACAACAAGACTACACACACTGTAGTATGGAGTATGATCTGAAGAAGTCTAGTGTGTGTTCTCAGTTGTGTGTATTGTATCACATTGTACTGTGTTTGTTTTACGTCATAAAACCCCTTTGAAAATTCGACGCTGCTCGAGGGGCTCTCCCTGAATCCAATCCCCCACAGCCCAGATTCCCCCTGACTTCCTCCCGTCTCTTTTCAGCGTATAAACTCGGTGAACCTGGACGAGCTGGTGAACCGTTTGGTGAATGGCGTCCTGCAAACCTCCGCCGCCAACATCCAGGAGCTGCTTCTCTGCATCGAGCGCTGGAAAGAGGAGGCCCAGACCGACGACCGTCTCGCCGCCGTCCGGGACAAGGCCGAGCGCCACCTCCACAAGTTCTCCAGCATCAGGAAGACGTTTGTGCCCACGGAGGAGACCATGTGTGTGAGCTCCCATGGTCCCGCCGGTCTCACCGAGGCCGGAGGGTTCAGCCGCTTCGTGGACGTGGACTTTGTTTCACTGTCGAGGGTTTTAACGGCAGCAAAGAAAAGAATTGTGGGAAAGAGTCCGATGGAAGAGAGAGTCCTGGGTTCGGAGTCCAGAGACCAGGAAGAAGTATCTTTAAGGAACCAGGTGAGATCAGACGTACTTTACACTAAAACTTATCTGAGCTATTACACTGCAAATAGTGATGAAACAAAAGTCAGAAATAATAGAATTTGGCAAAATATATCTTAATTTGAGCACATTCTGACTGCGTTAAAACAAGATGTGCCGACGGGACAACTTCTGGTCTCTCTCTGGCTTCTCTCTCTGGTCTCTCTCTCTGGCTTCTCTCTCTGGTCTCTCCCTCTGGTCTCTCTCTGGTCTCTCTCTCTGGTCTCTCTCTCTCTCTCTGGTCTCTCTCTCTGGTCTCTCTCTCTGGTCTCTCTCTCTGGTCTCTCTCTCTGGTCTCTCTCTCTGGCCTCTCTCTCTGGCCTCTCTCTCTGGCCTCTCTCTCTGGCCTCTCTCTCTGGTCTCTCTCTCTGGTCTCTCTCTCTGGCCTCTCTCTCTGGCCTCTCTCTCTGGCCTCTCTCTCTGGTCTCTCTCTCTGGTCTCTCTCTCTGGTCTCTCTCTCTGGTCTCTCTCTCTGGTCTCTCTCTCTGGTCTCTATCTCTGGGCCTCTCTCTCTGGCCTCTCTCTCTGGTCTCTCTCTCTGGTCTCTCTCTCTGGTCTCTCTCTCTGGTCTCTCTCTCTGGTCTCTCTCTCTGGTCTCTCTCTCTGGTCTCTCTCTCTGGTCTCTCTCTCTGGTCTCTCTCTCTGGTCTCTCTCTCTGGTCTCTCTCTCTGGTCTCTCTCTCTGGCCTCTCTCTCTGGTCTCTCTCTCTGGCCTCTCTCTCAGGCCTCTCCCTGCTCTATTTCTGGTCTCTCTCTGGCCTCTCTCTCTGGCCTCTCTCTCTGGCCTCTCTCTCTGGCCTCTCTCTCTGGTCTCTATCTCTGGTCTCTCTCTCTGGCCTCTCTCTCTGGCCTCTCTCTCTGGTCTCTCTCTCTGGTCTCTCTCTCTGGTCTCTCTCTCTGGCCTCTCTCTCTCTGGTCTCTCTCTCTGGCCTCTCTCTCTGGCCTCTCTCTCTGGCCTCTCTCTCTGGTCTCTCTCTCTGGTCTCTCTCTCTGGTCTCTCTCTCTGGTCTCTCTCTCTGGTCTCTCTCTCTGGCCTCTCTCTCTGGTCTCTCTCTCTGGTCTCTCTCTCTGGTCTCGCTCTCTGGCCTCGCTCTCTGGCCTCTCTCTCTGCCCTCTCTCTCTGGACTCTCTCTCTGGCCTCTCTCTCTGGCCTCTCTCTCTGGTCTCTCTCTCTGGCCTCTCTCTGCTCTATTTCTGGTCTCTCTCTGGTCTCTCTCTCTGGTCTCTCTCTCTGGCCTCTCTCTCTGGTCTCTCTCTCTGGCCTCTCTCTCTGGTCTCTCTCTCTGGTCTCTCTCTCTGGTCTCTCTCTCTGGTCTCTCTCTCTGGTCTCTCTCTCTGGTCTCTCTCTCTGGTCTCTCTCTCTGGCCTCGCTCTCTGGCCTCTCTCTCTGCCCTCTCTCTCTGGACTCTCTCTCTGGTCTCTCTCTCTGGCCTCTCTCTCAGGCCTCTCCCTGCTCTATTTCTGGTCTCTCTCTCTGGTCTCTCTCTCTGGTCTCTCTCTCTGGCCTCTCTCTCTGGTCTCTCTCTCTGGCCTCTCTCTCTGGTCTCTCTCTCTGGCCTCTCTCTCTGGTCTCTCTCTGGTCTCTCTCTCTGGTCTCTCTCTCTGGTCTCTCTCTCTGGCCTCTCTCTGGTCTCTCTCTCTGGTCTCTCTGGTCTCTCTCTGGTCTCTCTCTCTGGCCTCTCTCTGGTCTCTCTCTCTGGTCTCTCTCTCTGGTCTCTCTCTGGTCTCTCTCTCTGGTCTCTCTCTCTGGTCTCTCTTTCTGGTCTCTCTCTCTGGTCTCTCTCTCTGGTCTCTCTCTCTGGTCTCTCTCTCTGGTCTCTCTCTCTGGTCTCTCTCTCTGGTCTCTCTCTCTGGTCTCTCTCTCTGGTCTCTCTCTCTGGTCTCTCTCTCTGGTCTCTCTCTCGTCTGATCCATGACTTACGTTTACACATATATAACAGTCTGAATGTTATTATCTTTGTGAGGAGCAGCCAAACGCCGAGACGACGGAGACAGAAAACTACACAACACGACAGCGGATCGAAGGGTGCGTTGGTTTTGTTCTAAACAGTCAAAGCTAAACATAGAGACTTATTTATCCTTAATTATTAGATCTAATGAATCGTTCTTATTTTCTTGTTGATTAGAGATGAGAAAGTTATGTTTTTGTTTCGCTCCGATGGAAAGAGTTTGATGAAGTCTCCAGGTCTGTCCTGTCCTGAGGAGGAGACGGACCATCAGTGAGTCTGATCTGTCCAGGTCTATGGAGTTACCGTGACAAGTTCATGTTTTACTTCATTTCTTTACAAATTGGAAGAACTTCTCGCCATCATGTTGCTGGTTTGGAGTCGACACCAGAGTCCGTGATTCCAGAGTCTGTGATTCCAGAGTCCGTGATTCCAGAGTCCGCGATTCCAGAGTCCGTGATTCCAGAGTCTGTGATTCCAGAGTGAGTTTCTCAATAACAAACTATCTTTCTGCTTTAACTTGAAATAAGTCAAAAATTGTTAATTTGAGCACATTCTGACGGACCTAAAACCAGATTTGCCAATGGGACCAAGCAAAATGGTCTCCCTCTCTGGTCTCCCTCTCTGGTCTCCCTCTCTGGTCTCCCTCTCTGGTCTCCCTCTCTGGTCTCCCTCTCTGGTCTCCCTCTCTGGTCTCCCTCTCTGGTCTCCCTCTCTGGTCTCCCTCTCTGGTCTCCCTCTCTGGTCTCCCTCTCTGGTCTCCCTCTCTGGTCTCCCTCTCTGGTCTCCCTCTCTGGTCTCCCTCTCTGGTCTCCCTCTGGTCTCTCTCTGGTCTCTGTCTGGTCTCTCTCTGGTCTCTATCTGGTCTCTATCTGGTCTCTATCTGGTCTCTCTCTGGTCTCTCTCTGGTCTCCCTCTCTGGTCTCCCTCTGGTCTCTCTCTAGTCTCTCTCTGGTCTCTTTCTGGTCTCTTTCTGGTCTCTTATGTCATTAGACAACTAAATCTTCTTCTATGGAGTTACTATGAACAATTCAACAATATTTAACTTTGTTTCTCCTCGTTCCAGATCAATTCAAAGAACTCCTCGCCATCCTGTTGCTGGTTTGGAAGCGACACCGGAGTCTGTGATTCCAGAGTCCGTGATTCCAGAGTCTGTGATTCCAGAGTCCGTGATTCCAGAGTCTGTGATTCCAGAGTCCGTGATTCCAGAGTCCCTGATTCCAGAGTCCCTGATTCCAGAGTCCGTGATTCCAGAGTCCGTGATTCCAGAGTCCGTGATTCCAGAGTCCGTGATTCCAGAGTCCGCAATTCCAGAGTCCGCAATTCCAGAGTCCACGATTTCAGAGTCCGTGATTCCAGAGTCCGTGATTCCAGAGTCCGTGATTCCAGAGTCCGCAATTCCAGAGTCCGCAATTCCAGAGTCCACGATTTCAGAGTCCGTGATTCCAGAGTCCGTAGAGTCCGTGATTCAAGTGTCCCTGATTCCAGAGTCCCTGATTCCAGAGTCCGTGATTCAAGTGTCCCTGATTCCAGAGTCCCTGATTCCAGAGTCCGTGATTCCAGAGTCCGTGATTCCAGAGTCTGTGATTCCAGAGTCCGTGATTCCAGAGTCCGTGATTCCAGAGTCCGTGATTCCAGAGTCCGTGATTCCAGAGTCCGTGATTCCAGAGTCCGTAGAGTCCGTGATTCGAGTGTCCGCGATTCCAGAGTCCGTGATTCCAGAGTCCGTGATTCCAGAGTCCCTGATTCCAGAGTCCGTGATTCCAGAGTCCGTGATTCCAGAGTCCACAATTCCAGAGTCCACAATTCCAGAGTCCGTGATTCCAGAGTCTGTGATTCCAGAGTCTGTGATTCCAGAGTGAGTTTCTTGATAACAAACAATAACATCTTTCTGGTTTAACTTTCCAATAATCTCCGGGTTTGGGACTCGACAGACGCTACTCTTCGTTCAGCTGCATCGAGACGAGTTCAAGAAAATCTCCGACGGCTTTTTCCGAAAGTCCCAAAGTTTCACCAGATTCACCGCATTCTTTAGAGTAAGTTTCCTTTGATCATGTTGGTTTTTTACAGAGTCCAACACTAAAGCTTACACCACACTTAGAGTCTGAATTCATATATTGCTATAGTAAACTTCATTTTTACATTGGGCACTTGTTTTTACAGGACGGTGTTGATTTCTCGAGGTTATTCCACGTTCAGCTTTGTTGAAAGCAGCTTCCAAAAGGATTCTCCCACTTCCCCTTTAAAGTATGTCGCAGATATAACATAAATGAAGCGATAGTTTTGGTTAAAAAGGTGATTTTCTGTGTGTTTGTGTTGGCAGCAGTGTGGACCTCAGTCAGTCCCAGTCGGAGTTCAGCAAAGACAAAGAGAAGGACGTGGAGGCAGAGGAAGAAGCTGAAGAGGAAGATCCAGACCAAATCTTCGTATTCATCAAAGACAAACAGGAGTAAGTACAGATACTTTTTAAGATTTAAGAGAAAGTTACTTGTGAATCACTAATAAGAATAAATAACGAGCCAAAACATGTTCAAATGACAAATACATGAATCCAATCTGCGGCTCACAAACGCTCTCTATCCAATATGACGGAGCTCGGGGTGTCGTGTAAAGAAGAATGGGCCAGTCTCTAGATGTGCAAAGCTTGTAAGATGTTGCTGTGATAGGAAAGTCTAGGTTCAGGTTCAGTGAACTTCACAAAAGAATCCAAAAGTCAGTGATGTAAATGTGACAAAAAACGATCCTGATTTGTTTGATATAAAAGGTTAAAGAGAGAAATCTTCACTGGGAATACACAGAGAGAGAGAGACCAGAGAGAGACCAGAAAGACCAGAGAGAGACCAGAGAGACCAGAGAGAGAGACCAGAGAGACCAGAGAGAGACCAGAGACCAGAGAGAGAGACCAGAGAGAGACCAGAGAGAGACCAGAGAGAGAGGCCAGAGAGACCAGAGAGAGACCAGAGAGAGAGACCAGAGAGAGACCAGAGAGACCAGAGAAAGACCAGAGAGAGACCAGAGAGAGACCAGAGAGACCAGAGAGAGAGACCAGAGAGAGACCAGAGAGAGAGACCAGAGAGAGAGACCAGAGAGAGACCAGAGAGAGAGACCAGAGAGAGAGACCAGAGAGGACCAGAGAGAGAGACCAGAGAGAGACCAGAGAGAGAGACCAGAGAGAGACCAGAGAGAGAGACCAGAGAGAGACCAGAGAGAGACCAGAGAAAGACCAGAGAGAGACCAGAGAGACCAGAGAGACCAGAGAGAGAGACCAGAGAGAGATACCAGAGAGAGAGACCAGAGAGAGACCAGAGAGAGATACCAGAGAGAGAGACCAGAGAGAGAGACCAGAGAGACCAGAGAGAGACCAGAGAGACCAGAGAGAGACCAGAGAGAGACTAGAGAGAGACCAGAGAGACCAGAGAGAGACCAGAGAGAGAGACCAGAGAGAGACTAGAGAGAGACCAGAGAGAGAGACCAGAGAGAGACCAGAGAGAGACCAGAGAGACCAGAGAGAGACCAGAGAGAGACCAGAGAGAGACCAGAGAGAGACCAGAGAGACCAGAGAGAGAGACCAGAGAGAGACCAGAGAGACCAGAGAGAGACCAGAGAGAGACCAGAGAGAGACCAGAGAGAGACCAGAGAGAGACTAGAGAGAGACCAGAGAGACCAGAGAGAGACCAGAGAGAGAGACCAGAGAGAGACCAGAGAGACCAGAGAGAGACCAGAGAGAGAGACCAGAGAGAGACCAGAGAGAGAGACCAGAGAGAGAGACCAGAGAGAGAGACCAGAGAGAGACCAGAGAGAGACCAGAGAAAGACCAGAGAGAGACCAGAGAGACCAGAGAGACCAGAGAGAGAGACCAGAGAGAGATACCAGAGAGAGAGACCAGAGAGAGACCAGAGAGAGATACCAGAGAGAGAGACCAGAGAGAGAGACCAGAGAGACCAGAGAGAGACCAGAGAGACCAGAGAGAGACCAGAGAGAGACTAGAGAGAGACCAGAGAGACCAGAGAGAGACCAGAGAGAGAGACCAGAGAGAGACTAGAGAGAGACCAGAGAGAGAGACCAGAGAGAGACCAGAGAGACCAGAGAGAGACCAGAGAGAGACCAGAGAGACCAGAGAGAGACCAGAGAGAGACCAGAGAGAGACCAGAGAGAGACCAGAGAGACCAGAGAGAGAGACCAGAGAGAGACCAGAGAGACCAGAGAGAGACCAGAGAGAGACCAGAGAGAGACCAGAGAGAGACCAGAGAGAGCAGAGAGAGACCAGAGAGAGACCAGAGAGAGACCAGAGAGACCAGAGAGAGACCAGAGAGAGAGACCAGAGAGAGACTAGAGAGACCAGAGAGAGACCAGAGAGAGAGACCAGAGAGAGACCAGAGAGACCAGAGAGAGACCAGAGAGAGACCAGAGAGAGACCAGAGAGAGACCAGAGAGAGACTAGAGAGAGACCAGAGAGACCAGAGAGAGACCAGAGAGAGAGACCAGAGAGAGACCAGAGAGACCAGAAAGAGACCAGAGAGAGAGACCAGAGAGAGACCAGAGAGACCAGAGAGACCAGAGAGAGACCAGAGAGACCAGAGAGAGAGAGACCAGAGAGACCAGAGAGAGACCAGAGAGAGAGACCAGAGAGAGACCAGAGAGAGAGGCCAGAGAGACCAGAGAGAGACCAGAGAGACCAGAGAGAGACCAGAGAGACCAGAGAAAGACCAGAGAGAGACCAGAGAGAGACCAGAGAGACCAGAGAGACCAGAGAGAGAGACCAGAGAGAGAGACCAGAGAGAGAGACCAGAGAGAGACCAGAGAGACCAGAGAGAGAGACCAGAGAGAGAGACCAGAGAGAGACCAGAGAGAGAGACCAGAGAGAGACCAGAGAGAGAGACCAGAGAGAGACCAGAGAGAGACCAGAGAGAGAGACCAGAGAGAGACCAGAGAGAGACCAGAGAGAGACTAGAGAGAGACTAGAGAGAGACCAGAGAGAGACCAGAGAGAGACCAGAGAGAGACCAGAGAGAGACCAGAGAGAGACCAGAGAGAGACCAGAGAGAGACCAGAGAGAGAGACCAGAGAGAGACCAGAGAGAGACCAGAGAGACCAGAGAGAGAGACCAGAGAGAGAGACCAGAGAGAGACCAGAGAGAGACCAGAGAGAGACCATAGAGAGACCAGAGAGAGACCAGAGAGAGGCCAGAGAGAGACAAAAGAGAGATTAGAGAGAGACCAGAGAGAGACCAGAGAAAGACCAGAGAGAGATTAGAGAGAGAATACAGCAAGACCAGGGAGAGACCAGAGGGAACACCTACTAAAATGTGAGACCAGCACGAGCCCAGTTTTCACATGTCACCAGAATGATTGACAGTTCGGAGGACCAATAGTCTTCCTTATTGTTTACATTCTGAAACTCTTGGATAGAACGAGGTTTTACAGAAATGCATCGATTGTCAATGAGAGAAACTAAAAGAATCTTGTATCTGTGATGTCACACGTCAGAGCCGGAGCAGAGGCGGATGAAGCCGTAGCCGCAGACGCCCTGAGGCAGCAGTTCTCACTCATGTGCACAGTGATGGTGACCCGTCTGACTGACACCATCGTCAAAGAGGTCTTCGTTTCCTCTGGAGAATGGTTGGACTCTCCGGACAAGGCGCGGCTGAAGGAGGTCTTCACCATCGACGCCTTCCACCAGTTCCTGAAGAAGAGGCGGGAAAGTCCTGGCGACCGAGCGGCGAGGGTCCGGATCCCAGAGGAGGCGGCCGCTGAGGTCATGGACAGAGTCAGAGCCGTCGTCGACAAATCACAACAGACACTTTTCCAGTTCTGTGCAGACCTGGCTCAGCTCCAGACCTCGGACTCTGACGGACGTTATGGAAAAACCTCCTCGGGTCATGAGTAATTTACTTTTTATATTTGATATTTTCCCTCCGAGGTTTTACAGTACGTGATAATAACTCTAACTTGTCGATCTTATGTTCTCTGAGGTTCTGGGATACGGAGATCGACAAAATGATGCCGGTATTTTGTCACGTTGGAAAGAGCCCAAAGAAATCTCTGGAAGTTCCATCTGATTCCACCGATGGCAAGTAAGGGTTAGATTTGTTCTTACTCATTTAGCGACAAGTGTCTCTAGAATCTATTTTATTTTATTGACAAAGATCTAACTGTTCCATCATCTCTTGGTCAGACTCTGCTCCTCGTTCAGCTGCACCGAGACCAGAACATCTCCGAGGGCTTTTCCCGATCGTAAAGTTACTCCGGATTCACCAGACAAGTTCCAGTACGTATCTGTGCTGCTTTTAGCCAAAAAATTGACTTGTGTGCTGTTCATTATGGGATGTTTTGTAAAGAGGAATGGGCAAAACTTCCAGGCTTTCCGTTTGGTGAACTATGGTGTTTTAGGAAAGAACCGCCCTCTCCCTGCTCCAGAGGGAACCAGAAAGACCTGAGTGAGACCAGAGAGAGACCAAGGAGAAGCGAGAGAGAGACCAGAGAGAGACCAGATAGAGACCAGAGAGAGACCAGAGAAAGACCAAGGAAAAACCAGACAGAGACCAGCGAGAGAGACCAAGGAGAAGCCAGAGAGAGACCAGAGAGAGACCAGAGAAAGACCAAGGAAAAACCAGACAGAGACCAGCGAGAGAGACCAAGGAGAAGCCAGAGAGAGACCAGAGAGAGACCAAAGAGAGAGCAGGGAGAGACCAGAGAGAGAGAGACCAGAGAAAGACCAAGGAAAAACCAGAGAGAGACCAGAGAGAGAGACCATAGAGATACCAAAGAGAGACTAGAGAGAGACTAGAGAGAGAGACGCCTATTAAAACGTGTGGAGAGATTGACAGTTAGGAGGACCAATAGTCTTCAAGATCCACCCTGAAGAAGAAAAATCTCCTTATCGTTTACAATCTGAAACTCTTGGATAGAACCAGGTTTTACAGAAACGCATCGATGGTCAATGAGAGAAACTTAAAGAATCTGGTGAATCTGAAGTAACTTTTCTGGATCACAAAGTTACTCCGGATTCACCAGACAAGTTCCAGTGCGTACCTGTGCTGCTTTTAGCAATGTGTCGTGTGTAAAGAGGAATGGGCAAAACTTCCAGGCTCTCCGTTTGGTGAACTATGGTGAAAGCATTGAGAAGGTCTGGTCATAGTTAAGAAGCACTGTCCTCATCGTTCTCATTCTGAAACTCTTGGATAGAGAAGCTTTTACAGAAACGCCTCCATGTCAAAGAGAGAAACAGCGGTCGTCATTTCTGCGCAGACTAAAGTTTATCGTTTCATACGTCTTTTATACTCTGTCCTTTGTTTAGTTTTCTTTTACGGAAACCTGTCTGTCCAAAACAGAAGCCTAGAGGGAAATATGTGTCAGAGGAAAGTCGTGTCAGTTTCAGTCTTGTCCATCTGTCGCCCCCCAGAGGCTGGAGTTTGAACTGCTTCCCCCGGGAGAAGACACCGGCTTCTCAGAGACAGAACAAATCGTTTTAAATGTTTATTTGTGTCTCTGCAGTTAATCACTTTTAAAGATTTACACATTTTCCCTTGATTCAGTCGAAATGCCCCAAACTCACTGGGATTATTGTAATTATTGTTTTGTTATTAGTATTTCTGTTATTGCTCACCGTATGCAAACAATTATCCCCTTGCGGACAATGACGTTTTTGAGTTGAGTTGATGTATCTTGTATTTGTGATGTCACACGTCAGAGCCGGAGCAGAGGCGGATGAAGCCGTAGCCGCAGACGCCCTGAGGCAGCAGTTCTCACACATGTGCACAGTGATGGTGACCCGTCTGACTGACACCATCGTCAAAGAGGTCTTCGTTTCCTCTGGAGAATGGTTGGACTCTCCGGACAAGGCGCGGCTGAAGGAGGTCTTCACCATCGACGCCTTCCACCAGTTCCTGAAGAAGAGGCGGGAAAGTCCTGGCGACCGAGCGGCGAGGGTCCGGATCCCAGAGGAGGCGGCCGCTGAGGTCATGGACAGAGTCAGAGCCGTCGTCGACAAATCACAACAGACACTTTTCCAGTTCTGTGCAGACCTGGCTCAGCTCCGGACCCCGGACTCTGACGGACGTTATGGACGGAGCAGGTTTGGAGCAAAGTGTGAGAAATGTCATAAATATATTCGACCGAAGCAGACGGAAAGTGAAAATACACAAAACACAAAGTGACACGGTGCAGTTTAAACATGAGTCATGTTTTTAAATGTTATTAAAAATATCATTACAAGTTTAACATTTCAGTCGATGTCTCATGATTATTACTACTGCTGCTAATGCTACTGCTAATGCTACTGCTAATGCTACTGCTGCTACTAATACTACTGCTAATGCTACTGCTACTACTGCTACTGCTACTAATGCTACTAATACTACTGCTAATGCTACTGCTGCCACCAAATTTCAAATTTGAATCTGAAATACGGGAAAACAAAAAAGGAGGAGGCTTAGCTGCCATTTTCAGAGACCACTTTGTCTCCCATAGAATGTCTCTTGGGAAGTTTCCGTCATTTGAATATGTGTCTTTTAAAATACAACAAAAACAATCTCCTCCAATACTCTTCGTTGTCCTATACAAGCCACCGCAGTCATGTCACAGTTTTATTGGTAATTTTACCGAGTTGCTTTCAGTTGTATGCACAGATTTTGATAGTTTGGTTATTACAGGTGATTTTAATATTCATGTGGATAATGTTGATGACAGAAATGCAAATGAGCCGAGTTCTTTACTTGAATCCTTTGGTCTCACTCAGCACGTAAGTGGCCCCACCCACAGCAGAGGGCACACTCTAGATCTGTTAGTTACAAAGGGGGTGAATATTTCAAATATAAGCGTGGTCGATGTTGCTCTTTCGGATCATTTCTGTGTTTTTTTTGACATGTGTTTCACTAACAAACCACCAGTGGACTCTGCAACTGTTCGAAGAAGACGCATAAATGAAAATACGAGTGAACTATTTATGGGAATGATAAACTTTGAAAATGCATCGTATTCTACTGTAGATGAACTGTTTAACTCTGTCACCTCTAGTGTTTTGAATGTTCTGGATACCGTTGCCCCTGTGAAGGTTAAAATAGTGAAAAATAAGCAGAAGGCGCCGTGGGCTAAAGCAGACTCGGTCAGAGCACTGAAGAGAAAGTGCCGGAGGGCCGAGCGGAAGTGGCGCAAGTCCAACCTCCAGGTTGATTACAAGATCTTCAAAGATAAGTTGTGCGAGTTTAACCGGGTGCTACGTAGTACGAGAGAAAGGTATTTTTCTGAAATGATTGAAGGCTGCAGCAACAATCTGCGTGTTCTGTTTTCAACAGTTAATAGATTAACAAACCCCCCTGTTCAGATGCCATTAGAGCTAACTTCCAAACGTAAATGTAATGAGTTTGCACATTTTTTCAATGACAAGGTTCAAGGCATCAAAAACGCCATTGTCTCCAATCCACAGATAACCATCCAACAGCCAGAAAGGCTCTCTGAGCTAACTCACTTTGCACCTGTAAATGATAAAACTGTCCAAGAGATAATCTCCAGTTTGAGCTCCTCCACATGCAGCCTGGATGTACTACCCACTAGATTTCTGAAGTCTGTTCTGACCAGTCTGTTACCTTCACTCACACAGATAGTAAACATGTCCCTTCATTCTGGAATATTCCCAAAGGCCCTGAAAACTGCAGTCATCAGGCCCCTGCTAAAAAAGAGCAGTCTCGATGCTACGGTACTTAACAACTATCGTCCCATCTCAAATCTGCCATTTATGGGGAAAGTCCTTGAAAAAGTTGTCTACCTACAGCTTACTAGATTTCTTATAATCAACAACTCATTTGATATGTTTCAGTCCGGCTTTAGACCCCACCACAGCACTGAGACTGCTCTCGTTAAGGTTACAAATGATATCCGGCTGAACACTGACGCAGGCAAAGTCTCAATCTTAATCTTGTTAGATCTAAGTGCTGCCTTTGACACCGTCGACCATGAGATCCTCTTACAGAGACTAGAGGACTGGGTTGGCGTCGCTGGCTCCGCCCTAAGTTCGTTTAGGTCTTACCTTGAAGACAGGAAGTACTTTGTGGAGATTGGAAACTGTGTCTCAGATCATATGGCCGTGACCTGTGGAGTACCACAGGGGTCGATCCTGGGACCTCTTCTGTCCAATCTGTACATGCTGCCGTTAGGTCAGTTAATACGCAGAAACAAAGTGTCCTATCACAACTATGCAGACGACACTCAGATCTATGTCTCACTGACTGCAGGAGAACATGGACCAGTGGACTCACTCCTTCACTGTATCCAACAGATCAGTGAGTGGATGCAAAACAACTTCCTTCAGCTAAACGCAGACAAAACTGAAATGATTGTCTTTGGTCCCCAGAAACAAAGAGAGAGCGTCATCTGTCACCTACAGTCTCTCTCCCTAAAACCTTCAAACAAGGTCAGAAATCTAGGGGTAATACTGGACTCAGACTTAAATTTTAATAGCCACATCAAATCAGTAACATCAGCAGCTTTTTACCATCTAAAAAACATTGCCAGGATCAAAAACATAGTGTCTAAAGCAGACCTGGAGATTCTTATCCATGCATTTGTCTCCAGTAGGTTAGACTACTGCAATGGCCTGCTCACAGGTCTGTCCAAACAGGCTGTAAAACAGCTGCAGTACATTCAAAATGCAGCAGCTCGAGTCCTGACTAGAACCAGGAAGTACGACCACATTAGTCCTGACTAGAACCAGGAAGTACGACCACATTAGTCCAGACTAGAACCAGGAAGTACGACCATATTAGTCCTGACTAGAACCAGGAAGTACGACCACATTAGTCCTGACTAGAACCAGGAAGTACGACCACATTAGTCCTGACTAGAACCAGGAAGTACGACCATATTAGTCCAGTCCTCAGGTCTCTGCACTGGCTTCCTGTGGCTCAGAGAATAGAATTTAAAACAGCTCTGCTTGTTACAAGTCTCTCCATAGCCTCGCACCAAAATATATTAGTGACATGTTAGTCCCATATGAACCAGCCCGGACTCTGAGGAGCACAGGGACTGGACTCCTGCTGGGACTCTGAGGAGCACAGGGACTGGACTCCTGCTGAGACTCTGAGGAGCACAGGGACTGGACTCCTGCTGCGACTCTGAGGAGCACAGGGACTGGACTCCTGCTGCGACTCTGAGGAGCACAGGGACTGGCCTCCTGCTGCGACTCTGAGGAGCACAGGGACTGGACTCCTGCTGCGACTCTGAGGAGCACAGGGACTGGACTCCTGCTGGGACTCTGAGGAGCACAGGGACTGGACTCCTGCTGCGACTCTGAGGAGCACAGGGACTGGACTCCTGCTGCGACTCTGAGGAGCACAGCAGTGGCGGAGCCAGACTTTTAAACAAAGGGTGGCCAGGGGGTGGCAAGGGTTTTTTTAAGGGGTCCACATTTATACTATTCAGAAATTTTATTTCACACAAAAACTGGCTAAACGATACATTTTAATCTTAATATTATTTTTATTCTTTACATAAAGTGAACTGAGTGCACTTGGAAACAACGAAGAAAAAAAGTGCATTTAAACAGTGGTCTGAACAAAAGTGCTAAATGACATAATTCAAACATTGCATCTTTTAACAAATTTAGGCAACTGTTTTACAGGACATCAGCAAAGCAAAATCCTGCGGTTATGGTGTAAAGCAGCAAAGATTTTGACAAACTCATCCATATTTAGCCCCTTAGCCCTCCTTGACTCAATCTATCATCTGCCATGGTCGTTCGGAGATGGTTTTTGATTAGTTTTAGGGCAGAGAAACTTCTTTCACAAGCTGCAGTACTGACGGGTATCACAACAGATATCTTTGCAAGCCTGAAAAGCTCATAAAAAACTTCTTTATAAGGTTCCAAAAAGACAAGGAATTCCAACAGGGAAGATGGTCTCTCTAGTCCATTTTTTTCTCTCCTCCCAAGAAGCCGCCTAGTTTGATGGACCTCATGCTTAAGGTCCTCTACATCTGAATCAAAGGTTCTGCCAAATGCAAACAGGGGCTCTTCTTTCAAAAATGAAGGACTTTTGGGGTCAAGAGACTGCACTCCATCCATAATCTCACAGTTTTTTTGTGAAAAACGCCTCTCTAACTCTGCCGATAGACAATCCAGCACCTGATAAAACACACTTCTGTTAAGCTGTTCAGTGCTTTGACAGACGTCCCTTCGCCCAACAGTGCTCATGACAAGGGAGTCAGCCAACTTGGTAGTGGTTTTAGATTGTCTTTTGTTTTGTCCTTCTCTGGAAATGTTGCATCTCTGAACATGGGCCTCAATCTCCCTCCATAGGTCACCAAAATAAGTCTCATTTCTGTAACCTTTAAATGTGTCCGCTAGGGCATTCACAAGTTCTACAGCTCTTGACAGATCAAGAGTGCTTGATTGGAGCATGTCAGATAGGATTTTTACATCACCAAACACTTGACAAAAAATAATCAACAGCCCAATAAACTGCATGTCAATCTGAGCCAGAAGACCCCTTGCTTCGACTTTCCTTTCTCCACTACTCTTCTCAATCGAAATGTCCTGTAGAAGCCTCAAAACAGCAGGCAGCCTATCTTTCAGATTACGACACGCCATGTACCTGCAAGCCCACCTAACATCTGTTAGTCTTTGTAGCTCCCGAGGTTTCTCTTGGGGATACATTTCCTTTTGGACCTCAAGCCACTTCATATGAACAGCAGAACCAGAAACAAACTTATAAATATTCTGCAAAAGAGCAAAGAAATCTTCAGCTTCTGGAACTGACTTCACCACATCGACAAGAACTAAATTCAAGCAGTGTGCATTACAATGCACATAGAATGCAAACTTGGCATTACTTTTAATACGGGTAGAAACACCAGAATGTTTCCCACTCATCACTGAGGCACCATCATACCCCTGACCTATTAGGTTGTTTCTATAGTCCAGACCATGCTTCTCCAAACAGCCAACTATCATGTTTGTGAGGCCTTCTGCATCCAAGCTTTGTGCTGACTGGAAATGCAAGAAGCTTTCATGTACAGCACCACTGTAATAGTATCGAACAACTAAGGAAATCTGTTCTTTTTTTTGTAGGTCTTTTGTTTCATCTGCCAATACACTGAAAACCTCACTATCTTTTACTTCAGCCACAATCTGCTTTTGCACCATATCTGCCAAAACTTCCAAGAT